CACCATCATCACCACCACCATCACCACCACCATCATCACCACCACCACATGCAGCATCCGTCTGGTTTGATGAACCCATCAGAACAACCTGAGGCCACGCTGGATGTGTTCAGTTAGAAGTTTATGGACCGCGGTATCCTGAAGGGTCCTTGTTCATGTGTTCTCGTGTTTATTACAGCAGCACTCTGTCTGCTCTGTGTGTTCGAAACATAGACACAGTGACGTTGTTCTGACCCGATACGTTTCTCTTTCAGTTATTTCACCACACAAATAGACTCCAGCTGCATCGAATCACATGGTCATGTACTGAAGGGTACCGAGTCGTATCGTAACCCCTGATCTAGACTTCTATCAGACGGCCTCTTCAGGTAGAGGTGCACACCCTGTTTACCGTGTTCACTCTGTAGCGGTTCAACCAAAAGACAAGTAAGAAAAGGTCTCCCCTGTAGGTCCAGTTCTACCTCGGCCCATCCCAGAGGGTGCTCTGGTTTCCCGTTAGCCAGGTATGAGAGAATGTCAGCCCGTTTAATAAGTGAATCCTTCCATAGCTGTTCATTGATTAATGTGTATGATGATCCAGATCCAAGACGGCGTCCCCCTTCCACACCCCGACGGCGAGTGTCACTTTTACCTGGTTCACCTGGTTCACCTGGTTCACCTGGTGGACGCCGTAACATCAGCAGTGCTCAGTGAAATCATGAACATCTTCTGTGTGTGTAAAGTTTCAAAAACTTTAATTATACAACAGTCTGGAAAATGCTTTAATTCTCTTTTTATGATTTTCCATTCGACTACGAAGACCTGCAGCCTCACAGCACCGGTCTTTTTGGAGAGAATCAGTCATCGGCCTACAATGTGCCTCGTGTGGTTCTTTAAAGAACTGTTTGAAGGAATCGTCCCTTCTGTCTCTGAGGAACCCTCAGACCCCTTTTCCACCAAACTGGTTCCAGTGCTGGTTCAGAGCCAGAGCCTGACTCAGCACCAGTTCTTTGTGTTTCCACCACCTAAGCACCGGGGGCTGGGGGCGGGGCTGTCGGGACCACCGAGAGCGATGAATGGGACACACAAGAGGTGATTTGTGTCGTTTTTCTCCAGGACGTCTCTGGTCCGATCACAGATGTACTGAATGAGTCCAGGGACACACAGAAGTTCTGCACAAACTGTTGAAACTCGGTCCAACTGTGTCCCAGCAGCACCACAGTGGTGGAGAACAGGACTGGTAGAACTTCAGTATTCAGCTTAGAAATGAGGTGTTCTGGTGACAAACGGACCTCAGCTACACACTGTTTGTTCTGCTCATAGAGAAGACCTCATGAGAACACATCACTGGGTCTCATGCTGGACAGATCTGACACCAGAACCTCCTGGTTCACTCTGTTGAAGTCATCTCTGGTCTCACACCGGTCTGAGCGCCGCGGCCACCAGCAGCAGCTAGCGCAGCCTGCTATGTGGGGCGTTCAGGGAACATGGTAAACTGTAGCGTCTATGGATAAGAACATGTTCAGCAGGTCAGATGTTTCTCCTGTGACCAGGTGGGAGGTGAGACCAGATGAGAAAGTGGGTCACACCGGTACCAAAGTCCGTCTGGAGTCCTGTGTGGACTCTGTGTGGCGCCGGTGCTGTTTGGTAAACGGCTCCGTATGCAGTGATGTATGGTTCTGACTGGGCTCCTGGCTGATGGAGAAGCAACCAGTTCTTAGATTGGAACCAACTAAGCACCGGCCCTAGCACCACCACGGAACCAGCACCTGGTGCTTCTTGGTGGAGAAGAGGTGCTGGAGAACCTTTTGCTAAAAGTTTTTAGTGGCGCTGGTGATAGTGCTTCTATGGCGTCACTGTGAAGACCCTGATTGGTTCCAGTTAGCGCCTCTGTGTTCCTGATGGAACATCTCTGCTGCTTCTAAACACAGTTCAATGATTTTACTACATTAATGGTGTCTGAACAAGCTTCTGTGTCAGCAGCTTCATTTAGCTGAAGCTAGTTAATTTTGCCACCTTATTGTCAGTAACTGATGGTGGAAAACCAGAAGAAGGACTTTTGTGATTCTGGTGACTGAAGCTGAGAAAACTCAGCACAAACTAACTTTACTCTCTTTTGTGTCTAATGACAAATGTCTGCATGTGTCTGTGGACGGTCAGTAGGTGGAGTTTGCTAATGAAGTCCCCGAGGCGAAGGTTCGTCCGAGCGTCAACACCTCCGTCCCCGAGGCGTCCTCTGATCTGCAACACTTTCCAGTAATTCCCTCTGAAGCAAATTACAGCAAGAACCAGTGAGACCAATCAGCCTGAGCAGACCTCACACTGGTCTGGCTGGTCCACATGGGACAGTAATGACGTCCCCTTAGTCCAGCATCTTGTTTGTGAGTCTAATGAACTCCAGCTCTGAATGCGAAGGACAAGTTTGTTTTGTTCAGCTTCATTTTGGGCCTGAAGCCTGAAACACAAAGAGACAGAAAGTGTCCTAACGAGGCCTAAAACCCCCGAAACTAAAAAACTATGAACATAGTTTTGTTTGATGTCTGTAGACCTGTATAATATAGATACTCTGCCCCCTGGTGTTCAACTCAGGGAAATGGATCTTCTGACTCCCTGCAGCCATGCGGGAGGCTAACGGGAGGCTAACGGGAGGCTAACGGGAGGCTAACGGGAGGCTAACGGGTGGCTAACGGGAGGTGATCCGCTTCACCGTCCAGTTTGGTGGAATATGTGCATGAAGCCTTTGTGCTGCTGAAACAGGATCAATAAACAGATGAGGAGGTTTTCCGCCACTTGTGGAGCCAGTTTATGAAATGTTTGGTTCCCTGTATGGAGCGCAGCTAGCATGGCTTCACCGAGCTCCTGTCTTTGTATTCAGACGTTTACGTGGTTTCATTTGCAGGACTTCATGCTGCAGTGACAGATGAGACCGACTGTTGGAGTCCAGATGGTTCAGTGAGCAGCAGTTTGGTTCTGGTGTTGTGTTAAAGACACGTTTGACTTTAAGAGAGGGCTGCAGGTGGATCAGTGGTTAGCACCGTTAGCGCCTCACAGCTAGAAGGTCGCCGGTTGGCGTCCCGGTGAGGACACCCGGGATCTTCCTGCGTGGAGTCTCCATGTTCTCCCCGTGCAGCGTGGGTTCTCTCCGGGTTCTCCGGCTTCCTCCCACAGTCCAGAAACATGCTGAGGTTAATTGGTGATTGTAAATTGTCCGTAGGTGTGAATGTGAGTGTGCTTGGTTGTCTGTCTCTAAGTGTAGCCCTGTGATAGACTGGTTACCTGTCCAGGTGAACCTGCCTTCACCCTGAGTCAGCTGGGATAGGCTCCGCCCCCCATGACTCTGGTGAGGATGAAGGTGTAGAGATGATGGATGGACTCTGAGTTGAAGCCTGTGATGCAGTAAATGTGTTGGTCAGCAGGTGGCGTCCTCCAGGAAGCAGCTCTCAGCTCCTGCAGGACTCTATAAACTGCAGCACCGCAGGAGACCAACACTGAGGAGTGAGTTCAGGTGATGAGCAGGTTGCATCAGGAGACAGTAGCTTCACTGGTGGCCTGCTGCTGGATCATCTGGTCCTCAGCATCGTGGCAGAATGACAGTGAACTCATCTGTGTCCTACTTCATCCTAACAGCCTACATCCACGTGGGATCTCTGAGGTATCTGTGCTTCCTGGTGGCCGCTCTGCTGTACGTGGCGATCGTTTTCATCAACACGTCGCTCATCGTGGTGATCTGTGTGAACAGGAGCCTCCATGAGCCCATGTACATGTTCCTGTGCAGCCTGTTTGTCAATGAGCTGTATGGTAGTACAGGCTTGTTTCCACTGCTGCTGGTCCAGATCCTCTCTGATGTTCACTCTGTTCCTGCTTCTCTCTGCTTCCTGCAGATTTACTGTATTTACACGTATGGAAATGTGGAGGTTTGTAACCTGGCCGTCATGTCCTACGACCGCTACGTGGCCATCTGTCACCCTCTGCAGTACAGCACACGCATGACGCCTCAGAGAGCTGCTCTCCTGATTCTGGGGGTTTGGCTTTACTCTCTGCTGAAGTTCCTCATCACGCTGTCCTTAAACGTGCGTCTGACTCACTGTGGAAACGCCATCAACAGTCTGTACTGCCAGAACTACCTGGTGGTGAAGCTGGCCTGCTCGGACGCCCGAGTCAACAACGTTTATGGACTGTTTGCCGTGTTCGTGTCCATCATCATCCCTCTGATTCCCATCATGTTCTCCTACACCAGAATCCTCCAGGTGTGTTTTTCTGGCTGTAAACAGACTCGGCAGAAAGCCGTCACCACCTGCACCCCTCACATCGTCTCCCTGCTCAACTTCTCCTTCGGCTCCTGCTTCGAGATCTTTCAGAGCAGGTTTAGCCGAAGCAGCCTGCCCGTCATGCTGCGCCTCCTGCTGTCGCTGTACTTCCTCATCATTCAGCCGCTGCTCAACCCCGTCATGTACGGCATGCAGATGTCCAGGATCAGGAGAGCGTACCAGGATCTGATCTGCTGTCGGACACTCAGGATCCTCCACAGGTCCAAGTAGGATTAGCCAGTTAAAGAGAAAACCACAGAATGATGTGGATTTACCTGAAAGCCCTCGTGAGCCACACTGTGATCCGTTTGTCTGATTTCTGATTAAACCAGACTGAAGTGTGAATGTGTTCTGGTTCTTTCCTCTGTGACGGCAAACTGAACATCTTTGGACCGAACCAGACCTTCTTCACCGTTTTCTGACCTTCTACAGACCAAACACTGAAATCCACAGAAAACAATGAGAACGGTGGTTAGTTAGTTAGTTAGTTGGTTAGTTAATTAGTTAGTTGATTAGTTGGTTAGTTAGTTAGTTGGTTAGTTGGTTAGTTAGTTAGTTGGTTAGTTGGTTGCGCTGATAGACACACACTCATTCATTTACATCTCAGGATTTTATCGACAGTAGATCCACAAATGGAACTGATGAAGCCAGAAATGAAGCCAAACTGAAGAATAAAGTGGGAGTTAAAGGTCTTTGGTATAAACGTGAGAACGATGAAGAGCAGCAACATGAACCCAGATCAGCTGATGCTTCATGAAACATCTGACCGCTGATCAGCTGTTGAGCTGTGAATCATTTCCAGTGTTTAAGAGCTGAAGTCACACAGATAAATGTATTAAAACAGATAATAATGTTTCAGTGCATATGCCTGAACATAAGGTAAATGTCTATTTCCAGTCTTTGTCCAGCAGAGGGCGACAACAGGTCAATATTCATATTCTAGCTGTAATGACCCTCATCCACAGCACTGCCTTAAATCATCATTTCTGTCTTTTATTTGATATAAAACCACATTGTCACACAATAAGTGCATTTAAACATCAGATAGCAACACAGAAGCACAACTTTATCGGAGGAAAACAAAGTGAAATATTGCTGAAAAAAGTGTAACAATTAACAGTGAGACAAATGAATCAAACGAGAAAGATTTGAAAAGCCAAACAGTCAGAGAAGAGATTAAATGTTGACATGAAATAAAGTCTCTAAATGAAATGATGCAGAGAAGCACAAGTCCAGCGGTGCAACACAACCGGTCCGTCCAGGAGGAAAGTTCACGTCTGTCAAAGGAACATCACCAGCAACAAGATCACCATATCAGTCAGCCTGCTTTGTTATTTGTGTTTCATTTATGGAGCATTTATTCATCAAATGGTCAGAAATACCAGGAGAGAGAGCATCAGGAGACACTGTTCACGGGCCAAAGACGTGATTATCAGCTACTCTGACGAATGAAACCGAAGTTTAGAGTTAGTTTCACACGTTGGAACAACCTCATAGACGTCTTGTGATGATGTCGCAGCTCGTTTATGTGGCTGTAAGTTTGGCCTGTTGTGCTACGTCCTGATAGAACAAAACCAATGTTATTATATGACACCATGACATTTCAACTTGGGATGTCACGAGAACTGACTCTGTTTGAGCTAATGTAGCAGCTAATATTAGTTTTTGAGGCCAATCGAGTGGCTAATGTTAGTTGTTGAGGCTAACGTAGTGGCTAATGTTAGTTGTTGGGGCTAATGTAGTAGCTAATGTTAGCTGTTAAGGCTAATATAGTAGCTAATTTTAGTTGTTGAGGCTAAGGTAGTGGCTAATGTTAGTTGTTGAGG